TGTTTTTTCTTGTTTTTTCTTGTTTTTTCTTGTTTTGTATTTGTTTGTCTGCCTGATGTTGTCATTTACCTTAGGAAAGTGGATGTGAAATATTAGTGAATATTTTATGCTTTTTCAGGCATAGATAGTGAAACAGAGCAAATAAAAAAGACCTGCTTATGTGAGAGGTGTGAGCATAGCAGGCCTGAGCAGTTATGAAGACCTACGTTTTTGGAAAGAAATGCTGTAATCTTTCTGTTCTTGAAAAATGGTGATATGCTCTTACTTGCAGCTTGATGTGAAGTCTAAAACTCCAGAATGTTTTGAGACTTTTTACTTTGTCGTATTTGTTGGTATTGAATGAACGTGAAAGGTAAAAACTAGTTTTGTAGACATTGTCGACTGTGGTACTTTGCCACTTTGTGAATAACTCTTTTACTGTCTGTGTGTATTGAGGCACTGTTCTTTGCGATTGTTTCTGTGAGAAATTGTACTTTTGGATGAGAGAGCGATAGTACCAATCAGACTTAGGCACAGATAGGATCATCTAACAGTTAAGTTGAATGAATCAAAGCTGATCTACTGCTTAGAGGACTATACATCAACAGGAGTGCACATCGAATTTCAGAGTACCATAAATGAACTGTTTGGGTTTTTGTGTGTAGTTGGATTGCATCAAGACATTGGCAGTGGTGAGTAATCCCAGCCTGGCTTCTAGTTGTTGTATGCTCAGAACAGTTTGGAAACCTCTCCATCTTCGTATTTTTCTGTTATGGTAATTCTTGGGGCCACAGTTGAGGTACAGACAGCACTGTGTGAAGTAAGTGGTGATTTTGCTGTCTAGAAAAATAATTGGGGGACAGACCAAACAAAGTGGTAAAACATTGTTTAGAAATGGCTGTTTTAAAATATGCAAATGTAATCTGCAGTGCTTTAAAGCTCTGTGCTACAGACTGGTATATGAAAGAGAACTCTAAGCAACCTTACTGATTTGCACATAATTCAGATCAGTGGTATGTATCTTTCTCTAGTAGATCTGTATTTTGTATCACAATTGCCAAATGTTTATTTACTGTGAAGTATTACTGCTAGAGTTTTGAGGAGTATTTGGTAACACATTCTAAAGGTTGCTAGATTTGTGTCTTGTAAATCCCAAGCTATTGTAATGGTGACAAATCTGATACAGGTATACAGTTCATATCTTGTGCTGTACTATAAAACTTCATTGCAGTATAATATGAAGTTGAGGACAGTTTGAAAGGAAATTGTTATAAATGTGATTCTGTATTCATGAGTGGTTTATGCTAGGGATTGAATTGATAGCTACAGCTTTTGCAGCTGTGTCCAGTGTCAGACAGGTCAACCACATGTGAAGAAACAGCCTAATATTTAAAAAAATATGAAAAAGACCCATATGCATGACAGAAGTAAAAAGTGAAAAGCCTCCTGAGGCTTTCATATGTAATCTGGAATTTGTTTTCATTTTCAAAAAAATGCTATTTAGGCAGATGTGTACTGAGTTGTTCCCATGCAGATAAGCTATAAATACTAAGATTTTTGATTTTTGTTTTGTTTTTTTTTTTTTTAAACAGAATTTAGCAGCATTAAAACACAGTAACAAACTGAAATGCTTTAGTTCTGTCTGTGTGAAAAATTGAAAAAAGCAAGGGTAGCTCTGTGAAACATCTATGGCAAAAATACATTTTGGAATTCTTGCTACAGATTTGGTAAGGTTGTATTTGTGTGATTCTATGCTTTTTCAATATATGACCTGTGCTAGCTGTTTGGAAAGTGAACACTGATGTTAGTTCATGTGCACCTTATTACTTCCTTCACTTGTCCAAGCCTTTTGTCTTTTGTCTTTTGCTTGCTTTCTCATAGAACGTGCACTAGAGACAAACGGTAGTGTTTGCTGTTGTCAATTTCCTTATCACATCGGGGAGCACAGAAGCAATAGTCCTAGCTACTGCTGAGAAGCTCTTAAACTTTTTTGTTCATATTTAGATTAATAGACAGAATAGCAATAGTGGGAAGAAGTGCTTGGAAGGAGAAAGGATTGGTATTTGAGTTTAAAAAACCAAACAAAAAACCAACAGATCTGCTCAGAGCACACTATTTTTCTCTACAGCAACCCTAGGCCTTTGGCAGGCAATTTTTCCTGCCTGTAGAATGAAAATGCTTTGCCTATCTTGTCATTATCCATTACAGTCTCTGCCTGTTTCAGGGACTGCTGTGTGGTAAAGTCACTGTTTAGTATAGTAAGTTCTTGTGCCTTGAGCGGGCACACAAAAAGATATGGAGGGATTGGACAGGCTCAATTTCTGAAGGTCCCTTCCAAATGAACCTCTCTATTCTCTTATCCTTCTACAGCCAGTATTGAAGTATTGAATTCAGAAAACTAGGAGACTTTGCATTGCTTTAGAAAAGAAGATTAATGATGGTTAGGATGATGATATTAATTCAAGATGAGAATAGTAATTCTAGCTACCAGATGAAAAAGTGAAGGCAACATAATCCTTGGTTGAAAGCACTAAATGGACTAGCTGCAATGATTGATTTTATTTTTTTCATAACTGTGAGATAAGAGATCAGACTGTTTTTCAGATCTGTATATGTGGCTTTCACTCACTTGTCAAAAAGCAAAAACTTCCTCTGTATGTGTAAACTTCTGTAAACTTTCTTGTAATGTTGCAAATGTATTGATCTGTGGAAACTGGTTTATATGCCCTGGAAAATGCTAAAGGATTTTTGGTCCAAAGTTCAAGCATTTTTAATATTGAAAATTATATTAACTGGTAACAGTGCTTCCAGAAATACTTGCAGTAGACAATTCTTGAAGCCAACATGTGAAGGATGAAATTTGTGAAGACTGGAGTGACTCAAAAAATCTCTGGATTTCTGTGTTTTTCTGGGTCATACTTCTCTTGTTATGAGGCAAGGTAGCCATGAAGGTTCAACTCCAAATAAATTGTGGGTGGTGAAAGAATAACTGTTACATATTTAAGTTGGAAACTAATTTCTGTGGAGATATTTGGGAAAGCTTTTGTTAGAAAACTATTTCAGGGCAGATAAATAATTGACAAGTCTTAAAATTCAGTTCCTGTATACATCTGAATTTTACCTTTAGAAATTGCTTGTCTTTTACTGCAAGTAGTTATCAATTCAAGTGAATGCAGAAGTGGGAGCAAGGCTGATGTAAATAGTCTGGAAATTTTGTTCTTCCTTGTGGGGATTTTTCCTTTCCAGTCTTTTTGCAAAAGCACTGTACTTTAAAAGTATTCTGAGTTTGTAAAGAAAGATATTCTCTTGGGGAGGGAGAAGTGTGAATTCTAAGCTTATTTATTTATTAAGTGCTATTAACTGGCAGTGGAACACAGTGGAACACAGATGACTTCTTTCTACAGAAACCAAATTGGTAAGAATTAAAAATACAGAAAGGGAAAAAAAACAGGTGATGCGAGTTGACTCTTTAAGCCTTTCCACTCGAGAACAAAATTAAATTACTATTTCTATTCAGGGAAGAAAGCTGGAATTAAGTTTACTGGATTATTCAACATCTGTTTAATATCTCTCTCAACACTTGGCTGGATGTTACACAGATTCATTAGGTTAGGAGAAGAAAGTGATGGAAGTTTAAAAAGTAAAATACTGAGGTGTGTTGAAGCAGACTTCTTTCTACTGCAGTTCTGCCTGCATTTTGTCTCACTTTTCAGACACTGAGCAGGAGATGCTTGTGATTTTTAACTTCCATTTAACCTAGTAGTTGCTTTTGCTTTTCCACTGTCTCTAGTATGAAGGCATCTATCTGTCTATAGCATATATAGATCTATTGATAGATGTATTCACACTAGATATAGGTAGATATGAATGTTTGTGTATATATGCATACACACACACATATAGATTAAATATGTAACAAATACCTTTTTAAAGGGTATTTGTACCCACTTCAATTTGATCATCATTTTCTCAGTAAATGGAAGACTTGAAAGTTGAATGAGAATTGTAATGATTTGTTAATTTCTAGTGTATACTAACAAACAAATTGTATATTTTCAATGACTTGCATATGTCTTTGAAATGGTTTCCATTCTTCCCAAGATGCCTGCTTAAAACTGTAGGTGTTCAGCTCTTTGGCAAAATATTCTCCAGGAATCCTGTTTGCGCTGTAATGATTATATACTGACTGTTTTACATAATTCATTTGGATGTGAGTTATTTCTGTTCTCTCACCTAGAGGTTGGAAAGCTGCCTTAATTTCATGTCTGGAGGAAGAGGATAATAAAATCGAAAATACAAAGTGTTTGCAAATCAACTATGGAGATTAGAAAGAGTCTGTTGTTACTTCTGTTTAGTATTCATTATAAAAGTAGAGGACTGATTTATGCATGAGAGGGAAAATGAGCACATTTTTGTTATCTCATAGTTGGTGTGAATCCAGGAAATCTTGATACTGAGATCCTGGAAATTTACATTGTACATAATTTACCATTGACTCCTCCGTATTTTGGCTACTGATTTTTATTTTTATTTTATCTCTTCCATGGTACATTTTCTTTTAATATTCCTTACATTATTCAACTCTTCTTTTATCTGTAAGTAGCATTTCAAAAGCAGAGAAATCTCCTTTGGAACTTGAAGAATTTGATCATTTGGTTATGAGGCTTATTTAAATAACTTATGCTAGTCCTGATATTTAACACTACTAAAATAACTGTCTCATCATTCTCTATTGTGTTGTCATTGACAAAGGATCCTTTAGATAAATATAAGTTGAGCCTTTATATCTAATTTTCTTATTCAATGGGTATAAATAAAATGGACCTTTTTAATCCTTATGTTACTATGTTTATAAATGTTTTTTTTTTTCTTGATGTTAAGATCTATGTGGTTAAATATTTTAAGTATTTGAGCTACAAGCAGGATGTTAGCCTGTTTGAATATGGTATTACTGATGTTGACAATGTTTTTCTTTCTCCTACATTGTATACATCAGTTTTTCCTTAATGTTAACAATTCAGCTTTGGTCGGCCAGGAGTTGAATGTTACTGCCAGCATGACAGTGGAGCTGCAGTAATCCAGCTTCAGTTCCTGATTAATGAGGTTAGTAAATCAATGTCTGTATTCTGTAATTTAGAGAAGATGCACTGTGTGTTCCTCAATTTCTCACTAAGCAAACATCAAATTATAGATACCAGTCATGCCAAGAATTACTTGTTTTAAACACTAATAACAAGGTAACTTTTTTAATAGTATACATTGCTTGACTAACTTTTGAAAATGACTTCATTTCTACAGTACTCCTGCTACAAGCAGGAACTTTTTTGCAGTAATATATCCATTTCTGTCAGTAAATATTGCAAGTCATCCCTTGAAGTAAAGTACACTTTTAATAGTACCAACAATCTCAGTGGATTGTTAACTTTACTTTGATAGCTATTGTTTTAGATGTGAGCTGAGAAAAGATCTCTGATTTGAATCCTCAGCAATTTCACATTTATTTCGAAAGACGTAACAGCTGAGACCTGACAGCAGTACTGTTCTTGAGCTACTTAGGGACCAGATTTTTAGAGGGATCGCTACCTCAGAGAGATGCTGAAGTCAAGTATCACTAAATTTGTCAGCATGTAGATGTTAGCTACGGAATTTATTACTTATTTCTCTACAGATATGTGCTTGAGGAAACTTGTGCACTCCAGAAAAAGCTTCTTTGCAATTACTCTTCAGTATAGCACAGAACGAAATGTTACCAGGTTGAACGCTGCAATCAAATCAGTTATCCCACTACTACTATATGAAACTTATCTGTGCTATGATTTTAACATGCATGCTTGTAAATATTTTAATATTGGTAGCAAACTGCAATATTTCTTCTATGATGTTATTAACAGTATTTCTAGAGTTCTAGAAATAAATTCAGTAAAACTTTATTTTAAACAGGGAGCTCTTGTGAGTGCCTTGGCTGATGATACCTTACACCTGTGGAACTTACGTCAGAAGAGACCTGCTATACTTCATTCACTCAAATTTAACCGAGAACGGTAGGGGTTGGATTGTTGCTTTGCATGTTACTATCACAGTGTGAAAATGAAAGATTGGATTTATTGATGCAGTAGAATTAATAAATTGTTAAATGATTGAAGTGGGATATACATTGGACTTGAGTTATAGGCTGTTACGATCAAAAGTGCTTATGGGTAGATGCAGCATATCTCTGCTAAACTGAGGTGAGTTGTTTTTTTTGCTGTTTTTTGCTTCTTTGCTTTTTGTTAACAAGTTTTTGGAAGTAGTCCTTTTTTTTTTTTTTTTTTTTTTTCCTCCAGAATGAGTACAATTTCAGCTGGCATGCTGTGCAGCTTTTAAGCAGTCTACTTCTGAGCTGGACTTCTCAGAGCTCAGAGATGCCTAGCACGAACACAGAATAGTCTATGACTTGCACCTCTGTTGAGTACGGTGGGAATAGGCTTTAAGTAATAGATAGCAAGAAGGAGGAAAACTTAAATATTTATATAAAACCTTTTAATGTGATATCATATAAAGTGCTTGGATAGACTGCTGGGCGGATTGTAGAGTAACCTTAGACTTTAAAAAAAAAGAGCAGGTCACAAAGAAATTTGTAGGGACTGACATAGGTGGAGATTGTTTTCACGGGGTAGAAGACTAGGTGATTCCAAGTTTCTCTTGAAGTTGTTTTTGTAATCACTATGTATAAACTATTGATCACAAAACACATTCTGCATACCAAAGATGTGTCAGTGTGTATGTAGGATAAAAGTCAAGTAGAGAGGAATGAAATTCACCTCTAGTTTAAGAGGAGTTGTCCATCCATAGGAGATACAGTGGTGTATCCAAATGTAATTCTCCCCCTCATCTTTCTTCTTGTTTCTTTAAATGGCTTTTCTCTTACCTCCGTAGCTCCTTGTAAAATGTAAATGTAAAATTTGTCTTTACAGCCTGAAGTAAAACATTGGATGACAGCTTCTAACTAATGCTTTAAAGTGGGTATCTGACCAGGTGATTCTGATTATATGTAAATCTGTTGGAAGCTGGTTTAGAGTCTGAGATATAAAGATATCTTTGTTTAAACCAAGAGGAATTTTGAAACCATCATTTTCCTCTGAATGCATCAATCTGCTTTCTTGTTTAAGCAATATTTTTCCTTTCTTAAGAAAAATCAGTTCAGAGATCATTTGGGCATACCTGACTTCCACATCTTGACAGGTTGGGAAGATGGGCAGAGAAGGAACCTCTTGAAATTCAGTGAATAAAGTGCAGGGTCCTGCACCTGGGGAGTAATAACTCCATGCACCAGAACGAGCTTGGAGGCAAAGGTGTTGTAATGTAGCACCGTAAAGAAGGATGTGAGGGTTCTCATTGACAACAAATTGACCATTAGCTAACAATTTAGCTTCGCAATCAAGAAGGCCAGTAGGTATACTTGGCTTTATTAAGAAGAATGTTGCCAGAAGACTGAGGGAGATTCTCTTCCTCATCTGTTCAACCCCAGCGAAGCAACATCTGTGCTCTGCAGAACAAGAGAGACATGCAGACCTCCACTGGACACTCTTCAGGAGCACCGAAAATGATTGGATCATCTGTCTTATGAGGAAATGCTGAGTGAACTGGGCCTCTTCTGTCTGGAGAAGAGAAGGTCCAGAGAGCATCTGATCGGTGTGTTCAAGTATCTGAAGAGATGGTTTAAAGAGGATGGAGCCAGACTTCTCACTGGTGCCCAGGATGAGAAGGAACTGACAAACTGAAATGCAGGAATTTCTGATTGAACATGAGGAAAAATTCCTTTACTGTGAGGGTGACTGAGTTCTGGCACAGATTGCCTAGAGAGTTTATGGAGTTTCTCTCCTTGGAGATCTGCAAAGGCCACACGAACATGGCTCCGAGCAACCTGCTGTAGGTAGCACTGCTTGAACAGTGGGATGGGACCAGGTGACCTAGAGTTCTCTTCCAACCTTAGCAATTCTGTGATTATGTGAAATGCGGTGTTCTCACTACCAAAATCTGTCACAGGGAGTTGAACTGTGTGTGTTCTTAGCAGAAAAATGGTCAGGAAATGGTTTAGTTAGCTCACATCACTTCAGTGGAAGTGCTACTTGTTAATTTGAGTTTGACTTAAATGAATAGTTGTGGCTTGCAAAAAATATATGGTGGAAACACCATATTATCAAGAGTAATGAAGTGAAGAGACAAAGGTTTATTCTTGTAGTAATTTTCAAGTATCTATCATCATAACTTATAGAAGTAGCCGAGACAGTTAAGATCCCAGAGCCATACATTGCCATAGCTGTTTACATCATGCTTGATGACTGTCACCTAAGTTTTCAAATAGTCAAGTCAGTATTCCTTTGACTAATCCGTAACACAAAGCTTTATAAAATAAAGCGTGATCTCATTAAAAGGCAATCACTTTTATTTTGAAGTTAAGAGAATTGAACAAGTTCATTGCTGAATAATTCTGTTTACTGCTTTTAATAGCTTGGAGCTCTTAGTGTTAACTATTTCTAATGGGTTTGATGACACTTGAATTTGGAGTAGTTAACTTTGGGTCAGTTTTATGTTGTACATTAAACTGCTACTAAATTTAAGGAGACTAAATTTAAGGAGATAAGTATTCTTGAATATTTAAATCTTTAAATATGTATTTAAATATATATTTAAATATAAATATTCTTAAATAGGATTTTAGGTACGTTATTAATAATATCCTTTAAATAACTTATGAGTTGTGGTTAAGACGTTCTCATAAGAATAACTAACTAATCAAACATGAATTATTAAAATATTAAATACTAAAACTGGGCCTTGTGGTAATATGATGTAGTAATGATGCTTCAATTTGCTGGCTTGTACTTTGTAGGGACTTTCAGTATCTTTCAAATTAGTTTGGGTAAAAGAAAATAAATAATTGAACAAACTGAAAAAATGTTCTTCGTGGAGAAATGAAGTCCAAATTTATGAAAGGACCGAAGCAATTGCTTAAGTTTTATCAGTATTTTCTCTAGAAAACTACGTGCAAGGGTTTAAAATTGCATACTCATTTGGAAATGCCTGGAAATGTCTTGATAGAAAAGAAAAGCAGTATTTGTATTCTACTTAAGAGTTGAAGTCAAAAGGTTGGGGCAGTTTTTCTCTTTTGTTTTCAAATCCAATCATAAAATAGTTTGGATTGGAAGGGACCTTTAAGATCATCTAGTTTCCACCCCCCTGCTATAGTCAGGGGCACCTCCCACTAGACCAGGTTGCTCAAAGCCCCATCCATCCTGGCCTTGAATACTTCCAGGCAGGGGCGTTCACAACCTCTCTGGGCAACCTGTTCCAAAGTCTCATCATTCTCACAGTAAATAATTTCTTCCTAATGTTTAGTCTAAACCTACTCTCTTCCAGTCTAACACCATTTCACCTCGTCCTGTCACTACATGCCCTTATAAAAAGTCCCTCCCCAGATTTCCTCTAGGCTCTCTTCAGGTACTGGAAGCCCACTATAAGGTGCCCCGGGAGCCTTCTCTTCTCCAGGCTGAAGAGCCCCTATTCTCTCAACCTGTCCCCACTGGGGAGATGCTCCAGCCCTCTGATCATTTTCATGGCCTCCTCTGGACCTGCTCCAGCAGCCCCACGTCCTTCTTGTGTTGGAGGCTACAGAATTGGATACAGTACTCCATGGAGTACACATGGAGATTCATGAGAGCAGAGGAGAGGAGCAGAATCACCTCCTTTTACCTGCTGGTAACACTTCTCTTGATGCAATCCAGGATACGATTGGCCGCCTGGGCTGCAAGCTCACGTTGCCGGCTCATGTTGAGTCTTTCATCAGCTATCAAAAAGATTTGGTAATTTGATAGACACATAGCCATTTACTGCCTCTAGTACCACTGATAGTGAATAATTTTAAACAAGTCTTTTATGACCTGGTGACTGGTGAACGTGTTAATGTATAACAAATCTGTTGAAATTAATGGCAGATGTCAGAAGCGCAGTACAAAACAAGCTAGTTTTGCAAGTTTTCTAGCCTTTTGTTCTTGTCGCATTTGTGTGGGTTTCGCAGCTGCTCCATGTTCTAGTTACTAAACAGAAGTTAGAAGATATTAAACCAATGTAATGACAAGCTTGGTCTTAACTGCTCCTTAACTGTGGGAAGGAGAGAGGAGCAGTGTGTAGGGGCCTGATAAAGAATGCAAAATGATATATACGTGGGGTTTGTGTTTGCGTGACTTACTGTACAAATTAGTATCTTTGTACCTCTTTGCTAAATATGTGGTTTACTGTGTGAACTAGGTTTTGTTTGCTAGGGTATTTTTTCAGTGAATGACAGTGCAGTTTCTGTCACTTGAATAGACTTGAAAATACCTCAGCTTTATGTAGAAAATGGAAAACTTGTGATTAAAGACTTGCATCCTTTCTGAGATGGTTGTGATTCTGTCTTATTGCCAAAATGAATGTTTTGCTTGCTTTGTAACATAGCCTGAAGACAAAAACAAGAACCATAGTGTAAAAATAGAATCAAGTGTTTTGTGTACTGGTGGTTTGCATATTGATCACTGAATGCATTGATAGCAGTTTAATTTTTAATATGTCGACTCTTATGCTGTGGGATTTAAATAGTCTTCCTCAGCATGAAAGTGCACAATTTGGAGTTACAAAGTTGTTTTAACTACTGTTGGTTTTATACCCTGCTATCAACGGCAACATGAGCATTGTATTTCAAACACAAACCCTGCAGGGTGTGGGGAGAAATAAATCCCCTTGTATTTACTTTTTGCTAGCACATAGGATTTTTGACTTTTATGACATATACCTCACTTTGTTAGATTCTGTAAATCTACCCACACTACATATTAGCAGGCATTTGTTGCAAGGAGACTTCTTCCTCCTTCCACATAACTGAATTTATAAGCTGACCAATTCTGCCACTTTGTGGATAATAGAAGGACATGCAGGATATCTTTTTTTTTTGCTTTGAGAGCAGATGATCATCGACTTCTCGTTTCTCTTTTTTTGTGTACCAATTCTACTGTTTCATTTTCAACTT